AATAGATTTCAAACTAAAACTAAGCCGAAAAGAAAAACAGGGATACTTCATTCTAAACAAAGGAAGTTAGCCTAGAAGACATCGCTATCCTACACATGTATATAGCAAACCCAGGGGTACCCAATTTCATAAGGAAGCTACTGCTTGAATTAAAGACACGGATTAACAATATTCTACTAATAATAGGCCCCTTCATTACCCCCACTCTTTCCAATAAACATGCTATCAAGACAATAAATAAGAAGAGAAACATTAGACTTCATTGATATCATACTTCAAATATACTTAATAGATACTATGGTGGTTTGAATAAAAATGGCACCCACAGGCTCATAGGGAGTGGCCCTATCATGAGGCATGTCCCTGTTGAAATAAGAGTGGCCTTGTTGGATGAAATGTGACACTTGGGAAAGGCTTTATGATTTTATAAAATCAAGCCATGCCCAATGGCTCACCCTCTGTTCCTGCTGCCTGCCAATCCAGATGTAGAACTCCCAGCTACCTCTCTAGCACCATTCTGCATGCCTGTGATGATAATGGACTAAACCTCTGAACTGTAAGCCACCCCAATTAGATGTATTCCTTTGTAAGAGTTGTTGAAGTCATGGTGTCTCATCATGGCACTAAAAACCCTAACAGGTGCTGACAGAATATTCTACACAAAGAGTACACATTGTACTCAGGAATACATGAAAGCATTTGTAACACAGAGCACATCCGGAGGCACAAAACAAACCTTTCCAAATACAAAAAGATTAAAATCACTCCATGTATTTTCTTTCACCACAATGTAATAAAACTTAAAATATACAGGAAAAGGATTCTAGTAAATACATCAGTTCATGGCAAATTAAGCCACTCTTTACACAATGATGAATGAATTACAGAACAAATTCAGAATAAAAAAAAAAAACAGATTTTTGGAACTTAATAAACATGAAAAATACCTCAGTAAAACCTTTGGGACACACTAGAAAGTAGTTTTGGGAATGAAATTAATAGCTCTAAGTGCCCACATTTAAAAATCAGAAACAATGAAAATGACAGGCTTGGGGATGCTACTCAAAACGTAGTGAAAACAAGAAGCACGTGTTGTGGAATATCACTTTAACTATACAAAGTGTGTAACATTTTTTGTGCTGCTTTTGTTTAATGATGTAAGGATGTGTGTTCAATTACGTAAAGATGTGTTGCCTTTGTTTCGCCTTGCCTACCTAAGGCACCTGATTGGTCTAAAAAAAGGGTTGAATGGCCAATAGTTAGGTATAAAAAGGATAGGTGGGGCCACCATGCAGAATGAATAAATAGGAGGACGAATCTAGGACATGAAGAAGAACAAGAAGGAGAAGAGTGAAAAGAGAATGAGGAGAAAGAGGGTGACACTCCCGAGGAAAAAAGATAGGCAGGTGCCAGCTAGTCTAACTGCACAAAACTAAGCCGATATACAGAAAATAAGATATACAGAAGGAAAGAAAAGTAAAAAGGCCCAAAACAAAGGGTAGAAAAACAAGTGAATTTCAGTTAAAAGAGCTAGCCATAAGTGAACCTAAGCTAGGCTGAGCATTCAAAACCCAAAGAAGTATCTGTGTCGTGATTTGGGAGCTGGTTTGTGGCCCAAAAGAAAAAGTTTGATGCAACAAATCAAATGGAAACACAGTGGACAGCAATAAATTGGAATCAGAGCAGAACTCAACAGAATAGAAACAATGGGAATAATCCAAAGAACAAACAAATTTAAAACTTGGCTGTTTGAGAAGATAAAAAAAATTGACAGACCCTTGGCCAAACCAAGCAAAAGAAAGGGGGAGCAAATTGAGAGTCTGAAATGATCAGGGAACCAGCACAACAGACACCAAGGAAAATCAAAATACTATAATGGAATATTTTTATAACCTGCACTCCATTAATCTGGGAAACCTAAAACATGGATAAATTTCTAGATTTAGTCAAACCATAAGAATTAAACATAAAAATAATAAAAAACCCAAGCAGATCCTTAACAAATGAAGAGATTGATATAGTAAGAAAAACTTTTCCAATTAGGATGATTTGAGGAGCAGATGGATTCATAGCAGAATCCTTCCAGACATTCAGAGAAGTTCTATACCAGTACTTCTTAAAATTCAAAAGATAAAAACAGAAGAAACACACCCCAAACTCCTTCAACAAGATCTATAACACTCTAAACCCAAAAGAACAGCCATAACAAAGGAATACAGTCAAATATCCCTGATGAACAAAGACTCAAAAAATACAATAAAATCTTTGCAGTTACAATGCAGACATACATCAAAAAGATAATACACTATGATCAAGCTGACTTTATTCCTGAAATACAAGGATGGCTCAACATATGCAGGCAATAAATGTAATAAACCACATAAACAAAACTTCAAAAACAAAAATCATATACCCATCAAATACATACAGAAAAATTCTTTGACAAAATCCCACAAGCCTTCATAAAAACAGTCTTAGAGAATGTAGAGCTATAAGAAACAACTCCACATAATACAAGTTACATATGAGAAACCCAAGGACAACCTCATCACAAATGGAAAAAAATGAAGCAATGCCACTGGAGTCAGAAACAAGACAGAGATGGGCACAAACAGAGAAAGAAGAAGTCAAACTATCCATGTTTGGGCATGAATGATATTATACATTAGAGATACCAACAGTTTTACAGAAAAATATAGAAATACTAAGCTAATTGAGCAATTTTGGCAGATAGAGAATTAACTTGTTCAAATAAATATCTTTTCTACATCAATAACAAATCCATAGAGAAGAAATTCATAAACATACTGTAATTCACAATAGTCTCAAAAACTATCTAGTAATAAACCTAACCTAACCAAAGAAATGAAGAAACTCTATAATGAAAACTTTAAACCTCTTAAGAGACAGACAAATACAGCAGAAAATAGAAAGACATTCCATGCTCATAGATTAGTGAATTTAACATTGTGAAAATTACCATTTTATCAAAAGCTATTTTGTTTCTGCAATTCCAATCAAAATTCCTATCTTCTTCTTCAGAGAAATAGAAAACAATTATCCTAAAATTCATGTGGAATCGCAAAAGACACCAGAGAGCCCAAATATCCCAGAACAATGAGAACAAGACTGAGGTGATTATATTCCAGATATTAAAATAAATTACAGAGCCATAGTAATAAAGACATTATTCAATGGCATGAAAACATATCTCAAAAACAAAAAAAAATGGAGAAAAGAAAATATCTTCAACTAATGTAGCTTGGAAACTGGATGTCCATATGCAGAAGAGTGAAATTCAACTAGTATCTGTCACCTTCCACAAAAACAAACTCCAAACTGATTAGAGACCTAAACCTGAAACTGGTAGAAGGAATGACAGTTCCCCACATGATACTCATGGAAGAAAGGCCTTTCTGGATAGGCCTCCATTTGCCCAAGATTTATAGCCAACAGCTGACAAGTGGGATTTCATAAAACTAAAGCTTCTGCATTGCTAAAGGAACAACCCACGCAAGAAAAAGAGGCCCGCAGTATGGCAGAGCATCTTTGTTGGCTGTACAGCTAACAGAGGATTTAATATCCAGAATGTACAAAGAACCCAAGAAACAATGAGTTAAAACAACAACAACAACAAAAAACCCAAATGACCAATTCAAAAAAGTGGGCCAATCACCTGTACAGAGAGTTTTTAAAATAATAATAAAAAAATGGTCAGGAACTCTCCAAAAGAGATCATCATTGTAGGCTAGGCAACCAAATCAATTAAATGCAAATGCAAATTAATGAAATGCAAATCAAAAGAATTTTGATCATTCATTCTATCTCAGTCAGAATGGCAAAGATTAGAAAACAAAGACAAACAAATGTTAGGGATTGTGCAACACTATTCAAGCCATGGCGTCCTCAGGGAGTGAAGGTAGGCTTTGAGAGGGACTCCTGCAGCCATTAAGGTAGAGGAGGGCAGGAAGGATAGTGAAAGTCACCTGTGACCTAGTCCAGTAATACTGATTCAACACTGTCAAGGAGAAGCCATTATTTACACAAAGATTCCCAGTCTATGTTGTACAGTGTCATACAGCAGTCACTGACTTAATCCATCTAGGTGCTTTTGGAAACAAAAGTCCTCCTGACAGTTTTACTCATTTCTAAGGTATTCTATTTCTTAGTGACACTATGTTCTCAAACATAAATAACTAGTGGGTGATCCCAGGTTCTAAGATTGGGTGGTATCATGAGAGTTCAGTGGTTCATGGTGAATAAAAGAATATTGCAGAACATCAAAAGTTCAGGTTCAAACACTTTATGCATTAGCATGAAGTTGATCATTTGGAAATCAACACAGCAGAGCTGTTAGCTTCAACAGAGAGAGACACAAGCTCTTTAGAGGGGGGCCTGGGCACAATATTGGCGTTCAGACACACATCTGTAGAAAAAGATTCTGTGACTCAAGGAGACCCTGGAAAACAAAACTGGGACAAATAGTCTCTAGTTCTACAGAACATGGTGTCTGCTGATGTGACTTTACCAGGCCTGGCACGGGCCATTTTTGGTCTTTTCCCCTTTTATGTACTATGACATCATCTGGGGTAACAAGTTTGTATCATCATGAATGATTTTCCCATGTGTAGTTTCTTGGTTCACACTTGTGGCCAAATACACTAAGAGGGATTTACATCTTGGGGCTTGTTCTCTATGGTCTTGGATGAAGTAATACTGCCTGTGGCTAGAGAAAATAGTAAGAAAATCTCTTGTCATACATATTGTTTGTTATTCTGAATGCAGGGCCTCAGATTCAAAGCCCGAGGGAAGAAATTATTGGATAGTTCCCCAGGGGAGTGAAGAATCCTGTCAGAAAGAACTCGGGATGATTCAAGGGATAGCTCCAGTCACCAATAAAACTAGAAACAAGCATGCACACACATGAGCTATGGATATCCATGCTGGACCCTGCAGAGTCCACCTTGTCATACTCATGGATGGACAGATACTTTGTTAACATGCTGTTCTCTTGGTTATTTATCTCTTGCTTTCCACAGATTACTATTCCTACGCCGTCCTACAGGAGCAGCGAGTGCTTAGTCAGAATGCAATACCGTTTAAATGGTAAAGGAAACATGGCAATTGTTGGGTTTTTCCCTGCTTATACTGCCTACCCACTCAACAAAACAACTGATTGGAGAATGGCTAAATTCACCAGAGATTTTATGGTCGAGTAAGTCCTTCATTCACTTGTTCCTTTCCAAGGTTGGCATTCATATGCTCTAGGGGAAGTACAGATTCAAGCATTATTTTTCCCTTTATTCCATTAAGACACTTCCTCTCTTCCTTTCCTAGATCTTTCTGCAGTGGTGTCTTCTCAGTGATTCATCTGGTATTTTCAAAAGGGCAGAAGGAATTTGGGGTTCATTTGTTTTCATTTCTGCAGCAGACACTCGGAATTTCCCCTGTATCCTCTGCCATGCTGGTACTCCTCAGAATGTGGATGTTTTTAATGTTAGCTCTGTAAGAGAAAGATTACATAGTAAAGGTTTGACATAATATCTGAGGGGATTCTAGAGGTCTAGCTGTGCTCCCGTGAGAGGGGTTAATGCCACTCAAGTTAGTGGCCAGCAATTTCCTTGTACAAGGCTGAAGTGACCAATATTGTCTGTGCTCGCTGCTGAAGATTGGGGTGCAGGGATGTCAGAATCAGACACTGCGACCTACTCTCTGCTTTAGGAATGCCTTCATGTGTCTCAGATTCTTTTTTCTGACTTTTAACATTTGTATTCTTTGATGGGTTGCCAAGTTTACCTGTTTGCTGCATATATAGCCAGTGTGTGTTTGTTCTTTGTTATGAATGTGTTTCTGTGCACACATTGATTGTGACGGGTCCTCTGAAAGATGTTTGTAGGCATTCGTGAAGTTGCAAGATTAGTACATAGTGTCAGAGAAGTCCGTTTGAGTATCTCAGGTCCTGTTAAAGAGAAACAAGCTTGTATGTTAGGCTTTAAAAGAAGTCAGGTGTATTCTATCCCTCGCTGACATGACCATAGCTGTAGGTAATCACACAGTGAGTACCTGATAATGAGAAGTGTAGCTTGCACTCAGGTCTGAACTCAACAGGGGCAGCATGGAAGGCTCATTCAGGAATTAGACTGTTGGCAATGGGTGGAAAATCATCTAAAATAAACATAGGACTGATGGGTTGTTGTCTGTGTGGCATCACTGTGTCTGCCAAAATGTGACTATGGAGTAAGTCATCAACTCAGCAGTGGAAGAGGGGAAATGTTCATCGTTTGACTGAGGGACAATGACAGAGATTTAGGCTGAAATGGACATGATGAATGCAGCTGGGGAGATACAAAAATTGGCGTCTAGATAGCATATTCTGTGGAAGTCTACTGGCTCCAAGGATCATTGCTGACTTTAAGTACGGTTACAAAGTCGCATGGTCTACCAGACACTTGACCTTGCATGCTAGAGGAGACTCTTGTGCCCTACAGGAGATGGTGTCCCTGTCCTCCCTTCTCCTGCTCTTCTCTGTTTTCCAGTCTCAGCAGCTCAGCCAAGACTGAGCAGCAGCCTGTCCAGGTTGTAAAGAGCAACCCCATGCCTGCAAAGATCACACTTGTGGTTACATGAGCTCTCTGTGGCTGCCTTATCTAATGTGTACAAGAAGAGAGAGCTGTGTCAGTGTGATTTGGGATCTTCTGAAGTAAAAAATGAAACTAAAAGAAACTTCTACAAGTTATAAGCAATTCTCATATTTGATTTTTACAAGGCATTTTGAAATTATACTTTTTATAGAGAGTGAGGAACTTGGGAGCATATGCACTTCAAGGCTCACAACCACTTTCAAGCTTTAGATTTTTTTTTTTACACAAGTTTGGGAAACTATGTATATAATTTGAAAGAGAAATTGTCCTGTCTTTCGGCAGTTAAATTTTCTCTTTGTGGCTACATAAACATATTCATCTTAATTACCGTAACCACAAAAGACTGTAAGTTGTGCAGTTAGCATTATTTTATATGACACTAATTTTGTGTGGTCTAATTTTCTAATTGGATTTTACTTTCTTATCAAAATTAGGAAGCTGGGAAGTGAACATTTGATAGGTACAGAGCAATATCTAATAGGTACAAAATGTGTCTACCACCTCACTAAAGCAGATTAATCTATATAAGCAGTGTTTATGCACACTATAGAATCTTTTATGCATGGTGGTTAATTTACCTGCAAAGCAACATCGCCAGTTTCTCTCACTGTGTATGGGAGTGTTTTTCCTTAACACTAACTTAAAAATATGGCTGACTTTGTATGTCCAAGCTTCATTGTATCAGTTATGTGAGTATATGTACATTAATAACTTAAGACAACTTTTGTATTAGAAGAATATGAAAAATCAGATTTTTAAGATTTTTTTACTGTTGATATTTCTCATTTTTTAGTTTTTTCAAAGTAAAATGCCTGCTTACTAGTTATTTGAAAAAAATTTGTACAATGTAAGGTTTATTTTAAATATTTTAATGTGTCATACAGCACGTGTAAAATAACACAAACTTTAAGTTTTGCAAGGTATATTTATCAGTTATCAAAACTGTATTTTTTAGAAATGGCACAGCTTACCTGCTTTCTTCTAAAACTATTTGCACTAATTTCTTTAAGTTTTGCATTGCCATAGTTATTAGTCATGTTTATACATGTTCATTTATCATCATGGCATCAGTATCTGTTTATAGGGTAATGGATGATAATTCATCCTATGTAAAATTGTACTGTGATTAAGCTATAGAATCTAACATGCCCTCCTTTTCAACTCTAATCATATTAATTGTCCATTTTATAACAACTCATGTGTTACTAGAACCAAGCATCTTATCGGGTACTGGGGTGGTGCATGCCTTGAAACTGAGTATTTGTAGTGCTCAGGCAGAAAATCCTATGTTTTCAAGGCATGCATGGCCTATGTAGAAATTCTGGAGTGTGCAAATAAATGGACTGGGTATGTTTTTTGAAATATATTTTTATGTTCTCTAACTTTATAAGTATAACTAGTAAACTAACATAGTTTGTAAATACCTCTTAGTGAAAAATTCATAAGTAATATTATTTGGGGAAGATATATACACATCTTGAGCTGCCCACAGTGTGTTTGTGTCTTGGTTCCCAGGAGAACAAAATGCCAAGCTCTAAGCCTGTGCGCTCACAATGAGAAGGAAAACCATTGTCCCATTTAGTTTTGCAGTGTGTGTACACAGTGCATATAAACATATGGAGTCCTTATTTGCACCATCTGCTCTTTGTAGATAAAAAAGGTATTTAAACTAGTATATTTTGTATTAAAATTGTCTGCTCAGGATTTTGAGCATCATAGCCCATTGGCTGGTGGAAAATAGAAAGTTCTGGTTCAGAATGCTCAGGTGTTGAAGATATTTTGAAACCATTGCTTCATGTGGGTGGGTTATTGAAGGCAGCTGTGTGCATGGAAGACAAACAGTGCTTTCTGTAAACTTGTCTTCTCTCTAGAGGTTTACAGTTGCACGGGTGTGTTAAATGTAGAGGTTAAAAATGGCTTATGATGACACTTAACTTCATAATTTCTCTATTTGCTTTTTTTTCCATGTCTCCAGTTTGTTGATGAAAATGGGTTATTGGAGTCACCCACCGTCTCTGTGCTGGGGTGGATTGTGCTTTTAAACCTAAGACATTTGATTTAGTGAACTCGGGGACTCCTGTATTTGATGTCTACATGATTAGGACTGTAATAGCACAATGTTGGATTTTTTCCTTTAATGAGTAAAAATCACACTTCACTCTCTCTTCTGAATAGGTTTTGTTGGCTGTCTGCATTGAATCCTGGATGTTAGCTGATTTGCTATTGAATAGCATGGCCTCAGTGGGGACTGTCCCCTAGTTTGCATCTCTACAGGACTACGCATTTGAATAGGCCTACACCTGGGTGGAGGGCAAGGTGTGCAGGACAAGTCCTCACTTGTCAGCTAACATCCAGAATCCAATGCTGACCCAAGCTCCCGGTTACTGGAACCACTGGAAATTTCCTAATGGAATTTTCTTGGTCCCCAACAGGGTG